GTTGATTTCCTTCAAAAATAGTTTCAAATCACACAACTATTTAGTACCTGGAAAGAACAGACTGGTTTTGGGGGACAGACTGGTTTGGGGGGGACATTTCAAGTAAGGTAAAGAATTTTAGTGCTGTTGTGGAATTACAAAATGATAATATTAAACATAATTATTAAACATAATTATTTAGGAGTCCAGATATTTCCCAGCTTGATATACATGTTTTTATAATTCTTAATGGAAATTTCAGAGTGTTGTTTCCATTTCACTGTTTTTTTTCCCTCCCCTTAGCTGATCATGAAGTCCTGCACAGGTATAGACTACAAAGAATTCTACAACTTCCTCAAAGTTATTGCAGAGAACAGGATTTCTGTCTTGGAAAAAGGTCTGGATGATGAAGCTTCAGCCAAGAACACCCCAAAAGCTGCTATTTCCACCCTGGGCATGCTCCATGCTGTGTTTGACCTGAAGAGAACTGTGAAGGTGTTGACATCATTAAGTGCTAATGAAGACTTCAAGAAACTAGACCTGACATCACTCTCTCCACCTCCTGAGGCTTTGCTCCACCACCTGAAAGCAGCAATAGATACAGCCCTGCTCTGACTTCCTATTTACTCACTTCTTTGTGAAATGAACCTTTTCCAAAGGGTTTGGAGGAGACTAACTCCTCCCTGTTTTCTAGCTGGTGCAGTTGAAGTACAAAGAGCCTTACTAGAGAGTGGGGAGGGAGGACAGTCATCAGGCTGAATATTTTAAGAGCATTTGAGTGTTTAGAGTCATTGGATAGGGAAAAAAAATCTCAGATCAAGGAAAAACCCCAAAGCCTGTTTGTATTTTATTGTAAGCATGAATTCAGGGAAGGGAGACAGAAATTCCCTATGGATAAACACTGACATTGAACTGCTCTGCACCAAATTCCCTCTGCTTCCAACACCACCGTATACAGCAGCAAACCTGCAGTTAAGCTCTGCTTTGTCTGCTCACAGCTCAATTATTTAAGCCCTATATCCTGCTTCCAGGTGCAGCCCAGCTTTGCTGCTCCTTGTTTTTTTTAGCAAACTCTAGCTAGTTTACTCCCATGGAAGCCTGAGCTGGCTCAGCAGCTGGAGCCTGGATGTGGAATCACTGACTCTACCTGTGTCCTGCTAGGAATCTCCCTAAAGCTGAGACCTCAGGTAGTGTCAGCCCTCAAACTGCTCCAGGATTCAACTGACTACAGTAATTGGGAAGCAGGAATTCTGATTGCCACTGTTCATTCAGCATGTGACCCACCCAAGCTCAGAAGGAGGAACTAGATGTTCTGGAATGTTCTCCCACATTTTTATTTCAAGGCACAACACCTCCTCCAGCAGAGATTTGCTCAATCAGGGAAGCCAGCAAGTAGCCTCCTCTCAGCAGCTGCAAAAGCCTTGCAGTGAACACAGCAAACAGCACCTCTGCATGGTTCCACAGCACAATTTGTTACCTGAATGCTACCCTTGGGCTAAAATATTCCCAGTGAAACCTCTCTCTTGCTTTTCCTGGTGGCTGAGAAAGCCTAGAAGCACAAATGGCTGCACACTGTTAGTTGCCACTTTAGGCCTCACTTGAATTATTGCTCCAGAACTTCACTTTTCCAAACGTAAAAGCAACTGAAAACTTGATGTTTAGGAAGTGCAATAGTGGAAATCTTCAGTAGGCTGAAAAATCTCCATGTTTTCTAGAGAATTCCTTGGAGTTTGTACTTGCATGCATTTTGCATGGCCTATTTTCTAGTAGGATCTGCATTTTGAGTAGGAAATGATATCTGAAATTAAAATTCTCCGGAGCATGGATGAATTCTGTATGGAGAAACCAGACTGTATTTTTAATTAAACAGCTGTGACTACATCTCAGTGATTCAACCTTCTGGCAGGGAGTTTCTTTAGGCTGGAAAAGTGCCAGTTTGAAGCAAGTCTGAAATTAAAAGCTCCCAAAAGCTGTTCCTTAGGGCTGTTTACATCCCCCAAACCAGGCAGCTGCACTTTGCTTCCTTATATGAATAAGGTGAGACTTCCTAGAGGTGAGGAATAAAGATTTAAAGCTGACAATCAGTGTTTTAGGAAGGAAAACATGTTTTGGGCTTGTATTCTTCTCACTCCGTAGTGGTATTAAACATGGTTTAAGCCCTAAATCATTAAACATGGTATTAAACTGGTACTAAACATGGTTTAATACATGATCTCCTCACTGCTTCAGTAGGGAGCAGAAGCACAAAAATGAGATTTATTGATGATTGATAATTCAAATTCTTCCTGAAGGCAGTAAAGGAACCACAGATCTGCTCAAGTTCAAGACAAAAGTACATTCCCAACTGCCTGAAGATAGCAAGACTGGAATAAGGAGCATGCAAGCCTGGAATCTCTCTTTAAAAACTCCAACAGCTTTATTTGAATACAAAGTTACTGGAAAACATACATGAGGATATTCTCAGACCAATATATTAGCTATTGTAATCAGTGTGTTATTTATTAAAGCAAAATACTTGTGATAAACAGGAGTAAAGAGCCTGGTGTGGTTTGTTTTCCTGAAGGCACAGACCTGGAGAATTAAACTGTCCAGAATAAAAAAAGCAGGTTAAAATCAAGTTCAAAAGAGCTTTTGCTCTAAAAATGCAGCTCAGATAGAGCCAGTTTTGTCTGAGAGGAACAGGAAACCAAACATCTCTTTGCCTTTGACAAAGGCAGCAGAACTCCAGGCTGATTCTCACCTAGTTTATACCCCACTGGTGTCAGGGTGGGTCTGTCAGCACCTCAGTGTCTCTGCAGCTCTGTCAGTTCTCAAAACCAGGTGCTTTTCTCTTTTCTTCTTGCAGAATATGACATTTCTCACCCTAGGACAACCTCTGTCCTTTCTATCAGGCCCACATGAGCCCCTGTAGGATTCCAAAGCAGCACAAGCATGTCCAAGGTGCAAATGTGACATCCCTGAGGCTTCACAGGAGTGAGTAGAGTATAAATACACCTATTTTAGTATCCTAAATCAATGAAGTTAGTGAATAGCAGCTTTATAATGCAATGAGAGGTACTGAGTTGGGCATAGGTAGGAGGAGGAGTAGATAAACCTTCCTCTTAGGGCAGGAAAACCCACCTTTCCCTCCAGGAAGGAGTTGTTTAGGAGTGTGGAGATGACCTCTGACCATGCCAACCCCAAATGTTCCCATCAAGATTGTCGTTTCTAGAAAAGAAACTCTTCTTTCTGTCAGTTCAGTGCAAACCAAACAGCATCTAAGGAGGTTTCAAGGCAGATTGTTATGTGCAGGAAAGGGAAAGAAAACTACAGGGGAACCTTTGCTTCTTTCCACAAGAGATTCCCAAACATGAGCTGAGGTTGGATATTGAAGGCTTTTAGCCTTCACCATTCTTGTGTTTGCTTTAAGATCAGAGTTTGTCAAAAAAAAAAAACCCTCAGCTGATCATTGTGCTTCCCTTTTAAAGACAGCCAGAACAGCAGGGCCATGATTGCTTCTTCATCCAACAGTGTTTGGTCAACGAAAGTGCAGCAGGGAGGATATTCCCTTTGGATCCTCTGGCTCAGGAGCTGTGAGTGACGTGGCAGTTCTCCCTCTGGTGGATTCTTATCCTCTGGATGTGTTCATAGCATGACTGGGAAAGGAACAGAGCAAAACATTAAGGGGAAATTTGGGAATCTGGAGGCAAAATTCTAGGCTCCTGGCAGCCAAAGAAGCTGTGCTGAACTCAAGGGCAGGATGAAATCCACTGAAAATGAAGGATAAGCATATTCCCTAGCCTAGCAGGGAAGTAACCTCCTGGTGCTAAGCATGAAAACAGCCCCTACAGTTCAATTCCAGCCTTGTACATGCAAAGCTTTGCTATTCGGGGTGATGCAGCTGCAAGGAAACATTCCCTTACCTCCAGTGCTGTTAACAAAAAGTCAAACATTCCTCCTTGGTTGGTAGGATCCATCAAGTCTCTGATCAGATGGATTTCAGCTCCCAGGTGCTGGATTCTAGGGAAAGGAAAGGTGACAAAAAAAATCTCTGGGCATTTGTGGGGGGGTGTTTGGAATTAGGTGTTTTGGAGAGGAGGAGGAGGCACAGATCTGAAAGTCTTCCTGATTCCTTGATCTTCTGGAGGCTGAGTCCAGGAGGTATCTGGCAGGATTGGATCTCAAAGATGGAATCCCAGAATGATTTGGGTTGGAAAAGACCTTAAAGATCATCCAGTTCCATTCCCTGCCGTGGGGTTGCTCCAAGCCCCATCTCACCTGGTCTGGAACATTTCCAGGGATGGAGCAGCTACAACTTAATAGGAAAATTTTAGCTCCTCCATTTTTCACACTCTTATTCCTCTCTGCTCTCATTTACAGTCAAGAAACCTTCTTAGAAAACCTCAATCATCCAATATGGCTGCAGGATATTTTGACAGCATGAGAGGAAATGGCCTCAGGTTGCACCTAGGGAGATTTAGATTGGATATTAGGAAAAATGTCTTCATGGAAAGGGTTGTCCAGCCCTGGCACAGGCTGTCCAGTGGGGCAGTGGGGGAGTCAGCATCCCTGGAAGTGTTCAAAAATATGTGGATGTGGCACTTGAGGACGTGGCTTAGTAGAGAACATGGTGGTGCTGTTTGAGAGGAAATGGCCTCAGGTTGCACCTAGGGAGATTTAGATTGGATATTAGGAAAAATGTCTTCATGGAAAGGGTTGTCCAGCCCTGGCACAGGCTGTCCAGTGGGGCAGTGGGGGAGTCAGCATCCCTGGAAGTGTTCAAAAATATGTGGATGTGGCACTTGAGGACGTGGCTTAGTAGAGAACATGGTGGTGCTGTTTGACAGTTGGACTTGATGATCTTCAAGGTCTTTTCCTAACAATGCAAATGGCCTCAGGTTGCACCTAGGGAGATTTAGATTGGATATTAGGAAAAATGTCTTCATGGAAAGGGTTGTCCAGCCCTGGCACAGGCTGTCCAGTGGGGCAGTGGGGGAGTCAGCATCCCTGGAAGTGTTCAAAAATATGTGGATGTGGCACTTGAGGACGTGGCTTAGTAGAGAACATGGTGGTGCTGTTTGACAGTTGGACTTGATGATCTTCAAGGTCTTTTCCAAGCTTAACAATGCAATGATTCTATATTAAAAAAATATATGAATTTCATGCCCCCAAGTTTAACCATTTCACCTTTTTTTGGAGATCAGACATCTCCAGGAAGTCAGTGAAGGATTTTGACTCCTAATCAGTAGTCAGACATTGGAATGGGCTGCCCAGGGAGGTGGTAGATTCACCATCCCTGGAGGTTTTCAAGATGAGACTGGATGTGGCACTTAGTGCCATGGTCTAGTAATCACAGTAGGGTTGGGCTCAATGATCTTTGAGGTTTCTTCCAACCCATTTGATTCTATGATTCTATGACTCCAATTTGCCAGGAAATAGAGTTTGATCCTGCTGGATGTCAGCAGGTTCCTGCAGTTACCCTGAAAGCAGCACAGACAGAGCCTCTTTGGCAGAAATGTGGTATATTTCCAGTCATTCCCACATAGGAAAAGTCTAATTACTAGATGTAATGTTCAAGACCTTCCTAAGCTCCAAACTGAATCCAAGCTGAGACTGGAAAATAGGAAATATAAGATATAGGACATGCCTTAAGGCATCAAAAATTTGCCTTTAGAGGCCAAAATTGGCCTTTATGTTCCTATTTTTATTATACTATGAAACTATGA